TTGTTCTATACCCCGCTTCATTCCCCTCCACCCTACCCCCTGTCCCTACCATTACCCCCCCTTTAGTTTATGACCATGTGTCTCAAGTTCTTTAGATTCTATATTTCCCATACTATTCTTGCCCCCTCCCATCAATTTTCTATCTACTGTCTATGCTACTTATTTTCTGTACCTTCTCCCCTCTTCTCCTTCTCCCACTCCCCTATTGCTAACCCTCTGTGAGATCTTCATTTCTATGTTTCCGCTCCTGATCTAGCTGTCCTCTTAGTTTGCTTTTGTTTTAGGTGTGGTTGTTAATAACTGTGAGTTTGCTGTCCTTCCACTGTTCATGTTTTTTTAACTTCTTTTTCTTAGATAAGTCCCTTTAACATTTCATATAATAAGGGCTTGGTGATGATGAACTCCTGGAATTTGATCTTATCTGAGAAGCACTTTATCTGCCCTTCCATTCTAAATGAAAGTTTTGCTGGATAGAGCAATCTTGGTTGTAAGTCTTTGGATTTCATGACTTGGAATACTTCTTTCCAGCCTCTTCTTGCTTGTAAGGTCTCTTTTGAGAAATCAGCTGACAGTCTGATGGGAACTCCTTTGTAGGTGACTGTCCCCTTATCTCTTGCTGCTTCTAGGATTCTCTCCTTCATTTTAATCTTGGCTAATGTAATTATGATGTGCCTCGGTGTGTTTCTTCTTGGGTCCAACTTCTTTGGGACTCTCTGAGCTTCCTGGGTCTCCTGGAAGTCTATTTCCTTTGCCAGATTGGGGAAATTCTCCTTTATTATTTGTTCAAATAAGTTTTCCACTGGTGGCTGTTCCTTTACCCCTTCTGGTACCTCTATAATTTGGATGTTGGAGCATTTAAAGATGTCCTGGAGGTTCCTAAGCCTCTCCTCATTTTTTTGAATTCTTGTTTCTTCACTCTTTTCTGTTTGGCCATTATTTGCTTTCTTCTGGTTCACTCCATTGATTTGAGTCCCAGTTTCCTTTTCATCGCTATTGGTTTCCTGTGCAATTCCATTCATTTCAATTAGTTTCGCCTTCATATGTTTGTCTAATTTGTGGCTATAATCAACCAGTTCTGTGAGGATCCTGATCACCAGTGTTTTAAACTGTGCATCTGAGAGTTTTGCTATTTCTTCATTGCTTAGATTTATAGGCTCTGGGGCTTTGAGATCTTCTTGAGCCATTTTTGGTCTGTTTGCGCCCGTTATGTATGAGGAGTGGAGCCTTGGACTCCTAGGTCGCTGGGTTGTGATGCTGTATGTGGGGGGTCTTTGAGGGTAGAGTGTGTCTGTGCTTTCTATGCACAGGCTCTGAGCATGTTTAGTACATGAATGGCCTTTCTGTGTCATAGCCAGACGAAGGAGACTTCCACCCCAGGCCCATTTGCATGTGACCTTTGTCCTGCTCTAATGAGCAGAAGCAGCCTTCGGGAGAGATGCTCCTCACTCTTCTCAATGAGGTACAGTGTGTGGACGTTTGGTACATTTGAGAGTATCTTTGGCCCCGTCATCTCACAGAAAGGGTCCTGGGGGGGGGGACATTAGTAGAGGCAGGGTTGATCCATTACAGGGAGCAGGTTCTGGCAGACTATGCACCATGAATCTTTCTGAGGTCCAGACCTGGAGTCTTACAAACATTTGATGCCTGTCTATTGCTCTCTTTGCACACCCAGACACCTGTATTTGTGATGGCACGCTGGTTACCTGAACAAACATGTGCAAGTGTGTGTGTGTGTGTGAGAGAGAGAGAGAGATACACAAATACTACAATGAAATGAATGAATAGAGAAATACAATAGTCTATATTTCAAGGTTACCATTAGCCCGGGGATATGGATTTTACTGAGATTTTGCTACAGATGAATTTTCATAAAAAAGAGGGGGTGTAGTATTTTCTTTGTTCTTTTTTCCCCTGCTGTTTCAGGATGAAGGCTGGGGAGCCTGCCTTCACTTAGGTTGCAGCGGGGCTTATCTTCACTGTGTCTTCTGACACCTGTGTATCGTCCAGCACGACATGAAGTGACATGATTTTCATTATTGCGCACTTAATATGTCTGCCTCTGCTTTTCTCATTTTCAAATAGATTATAGATTCTTTTTAAATAGAGTTCTAAAATCAATTCTTCGGGGTAGATGTTTCATCTTCATATGATAGGCAGAATAACTGAAGCTCAAAGAAAAAAGTTTCATTTCTCCAGTTTACGTAGTTAGACCTAATCTTAACTTTGCCTTTTTCTTTTTCAAAACACTGCTTTTCTTTTCTTCTGTCTGTTATTTCTAAACACAAGGGACCTCAAAACTTTAGTTAAGATATAATTATAATTTAATAATTGATAAATATTATTAAAATGTGGCACAAATAAATTCTAACAGGATGATAACACTGTTTTGAGGACCTAATTTTTAATAGCAAAAATGTTATTGATAAGTATAGCACACACCAATAACTTCTGTGTCTCAAGAATGCTTTGTATATTAATGAGAGCCTCCAATAATGATATATTATTCAAATATTCTTTTTTAATAAAAATGCTAATAGACATGTTAAAATGCACATAAATTAAAATGATCATAAATTAGGATTAATATCACATTAATGAATTATAATCCCACATTCATTAAGATAAAGTGGCATTTCAATATTTGCTCTTGTTAATAAATTTGATACAATAAATGAAGGGGATACATTTTGAGATTCAATAAATAATTGATGTAATCTTAGGCTCTAACTTTTTAAAATATTCAAAAGTAAAGTAGGAGATCTAGATGCATTTGAATTCTTTGTTACTGTTTTATGTCTTTTTAATAATCTTTTCTTTTCATTTACTGAAGCGCTAAATACAATTTAACTGGCAAAGAAAGCAATAGAGCCTGTTCTGAATGCACACAGTCCCAAGAGGGTACAATAACTTCTGAGTTTCTAAGAGTTTCTTTCCACAAGACAGTTTATTTTTTTAAAGGGATAAATATTTGAAATTTCATGATGCAATAAGCAGAACTATATTGGTATTTAAATAACTGAGTTAAACTGAAAACATGAGCACTTTGTATGTTCCAACTATAATTCAATGACTTTTTTTAAAAAAGCAAACTAAAGATAAACATTTTTGTTTTATTTTACATTTTTTAAAAACAGGAGTCAACATAAAATACAAAGAAGCACCGTTCATCAGAACAGTCCTGTCTCCCTCTTGAGAGTAAACTGAACATGTTATTTTAATTTTTTTAATTGTCACTTGAGGGTATGTCTTTGTTGATTTTAGAGAGAGAAAGGGGCAGAGAGAGAGAAACACTGATGTGAGAGAGAAACATCAATCAGTTGTCTCCCATATGCTTCTCAACCTGGGATCAAACCCATAACCTAGGTATGCAAGTGCCTTGACCAGGAATCGAACCCACAACCCTTTCGGTGAATGAGATGACACTCCCACCAACTGAGCCATCTGAATAGGGCTAAACTGAACAGTTTAAAAGCTAGTGTGGTTCTACAGCTGCCAAAAAGGTTCAGGTGGGGCGGCATCAGTGACTACCTGTCGCCATGACCCGAGGTAGATCTGGGGCGCTGGTGCAAAGCTTCTACTTTTCTAAGCACTGTTAGTTTTGGGAAGCATGCTCGCCTACTGTGGCCTCAATGTTCTACTTTATAAAAAGGGAGTGATTTTCCTGGACCTGAAGAGTTGTGTGAAACAAAGTAAAAATCCTCCTAGGCAAACATAAGATTTAAAAAAAAAATTTTTTAATTTTATTGATTATGCCATTACAGTTATTCTCTTCCCCTCCTTCATGCCCCTTCCCAAAGAAGTTGGACCCAAGAAGAAACACACTGAGGCACATCATCATTACATTAGCCAAGATTAAAATGAAGGAGAGAATCCTAGAAGCAGCAAGAGATAAGGGGACAGTCACCTACAAAGGAGTTCCCATCAGACTGTCAGCAGATTTCTCAGAAGAGACCTTACAGGCAAGAAGGGGCTGGAAAGAGGTATTCCAAGTCATGAAATCCAAAGACCTACAACCAGGATTGCTCTAAACAGCAAAGTTTTCATTTAGAATGGAAGGACAGATAAAATTCTTCTCAGATAAGACCAAATTCCAGGAGTTCATCATCACCAAGCCCTTATTATATGAAATGTTAAAGGGACTTACCTAAGAAAAAGAAGATAAAAAATATGAATAGGGAAAGGACAGCAAACATAAGATTTTAACAGACACCAGACTATTAGAATTATTTTTGCTTTTGTAAATGTAACGGGCAGATCTGAGTTGAATTTAGGATCCACCAGGCTTGATTCCAAACTATGAGCCTTGGGGAGGTTGTCATATCAAACTTCCTTTTTTTCCACTTTCATATGAAATATTTTAATTCATTTACTTTCTGGTAAAAATCAAGGGAACTGTATAAGAAGTAATGCACAGAGTTCTTGGCATACAAATTAGTGATCCATAAAAGGCAGCTATTAATAACACCTTTAAATAAATGTATTCATAAATTGAAAAGAAGCCATATATTTTTGCATTTTTCCTTCATCTTTTTATCATTCTAAATGCATATCAGTTTATACTACACAGGTCAGAGTATTTTTTTAAGTGTTCAAACTTAATTTTATTATGTTTTATCTTGATTTATATACATACAGTTGCACAGACTCTTTGTACAGCTACTGTTAGCAGAAATGGATGAAGTTACAATGAATGTAAAAAGAACCAAGCAGACATTCAAGCAGGAGGTGGTTTAAAAAAAATAAGGTCACAGCCCTGGCTGGTGTAGCTCAGTGGGTTGAGCACTGGCCTGCAAACCAAAGGATCGCCAGTTTGATTCCCTGTCAGGGCACATGCCTGGGTTGCAGGCCAGGTCCCCAGTAGGGACTACGTGAGAGGCAACCACACATTGATGTCTCTCTCCTCCTCCCTTCCCTTCTCTCTAAAAATAAATAAATAAAATCTTTAAAAAAATAATGTTGCAAATTGTCCCATCACTAACTGATGTCACTTTTTATTTTAGCTACACACAGATCTGGATCCTGGGAGCAAAAAAATCAAGTATATCCTATCTGGCGATGGAGCCGGGACAATCTTTCAGATAAATGATATAACAGGAGATATCCATGCTATCAAAAGACTTGATCGAGAAGAAAAGGCCGAGTATACCCTCACAGCTCAGGCAGTGGACTGGGAAACCAACAAGCCCCTTGAGCCTCCTTCTGAATTTATCATTAAAGTTCAAGACATCAATGACAACGCACCAGAGTTTCTTAATGGGCCCTATCATGCCACTGTGCCGGAGATGTCCATTTTGGGTATGTATGCTTCCAATTTCACAGAACTATTAGGAGTCATCTTTAAAATAGCCCCTGGCATCAGGGATAGTGTATCGCTGAATAAAAGACATTTATTACTGTCTTATCTCTAATTTGCATTTCCAAATCCCCTTTTTTGGGCTCAGTGCCACAGCTCAATAGCTCCCATCTCTTAGTAATAGGAACTGGCGAAGCAGTTTTATTAAAATATCTCTTTTTGCCCGACAGTGCTTCAATAGGCTGAATTTGTATGCCTCACATAGACTTGCAGTTGAAGTATTGTTACTGAGGCGGATTTATCAAGATTTGTTCCAATATGCCAGACTAATCCTATTGATATTTGCTTGATGTTTAATTATTTGTTTGTGTGTATTCACAGGCAGATGCAGTGCAGAGAGAAACAGAAGCGTCTGGGTCTGTAGTCAGCCAGATATTGAATTGAGTTGGTGGGTCGAGTCGAGAGTGGATTAGGAAATCGGTTACCAGAGACTTCTGTGCTGTGGCTGGCTTACCTTAACTGAACTCTTTTTCAGGAGTGCTACCATCACCAAGGGCCCACTCCCAATTTTTCTGAGCCGTTAAAGTGTCTATTACATTGTACAGAGCAGTATATATTTCAGAACATGATTTTCTAGTCCTTCTTTTTTGTTGTTGTTTTGGATCTGCTGCTCTCACCCCAAACCCTGGCCTTGACCCTGGAAAACCCCCTGATGTCACCCAGACTTTATACTAGAGAGCTCTTCCTTATCTGACCAAATTAGCAGGCAGGCTCCAAAATGCAGAGTGCACAACCGCTGTAGTCATTTTAATATATGGAATATAGACCCTACTTAGTTTTAAATTACAGTTGGGGCCACCAACAAGGATACATACATCAAAATTAAAATGCAACAAAATGACATAAATTTGAATGAAGCAGGACAACATGATGAGACAAATAAAAACCACATGTAGAGACATAAATTGAAGGTCAGAATTAGTTAAGTAGCTTGGGTTTATTTGATAGCTTTTTTTTTGGACTTCTGAAGGACAGTTTATTGTTGTTCTTTTATTTATTATACATACTTGGGCTCACCCATTTAAATATCTTTTTATATAGTTTTTGCAGTTTAGGTAGTTCTTTTTTTTTCATTTTTTAAAAAATTTAATTATTGTTCAAGTACAATCTTCTGCCTTTTACTCCCATCCCAGCCCCCCTCTCAGTGCTCCCCACCTCCCTCCAATTTCCACCCCCCTTAGTTTTTATCCATGTGTCCTTTATACTTGTTCCTGTGAATCCTTCCCCTTTTCCCCTGAAATTCCCTCCCCTCTCCCCTCTGGCCCCCTTTTTACTCACAATATAGCTTTGGTAGATATAGTCACTGCAGCAGCAAATCAGAATTGATTGTGAGCTTTCACATCTTACCCAAGTACTTCTGCCAAGAGTCTACTTTGCCTATCTTTTGTGCAAGGAATTCTACTTTTATTAATTTCTTTCTTATCAGATCACAAAGCTTCTCTATGAATGATCGAAATGACACTATTTCTACTTGTATGGCTTTTTAGCAGAAAGTTATCTCTCTCTTGTTACTATTACCACAAATAGAAACCCACCAACAAGCAAAAACATCTCCATGTGTCTACTTCTTTCAAATTCTGATATGTAAACAGAAACTGACAAACACTAGATTTTTTTCTTGTTGAGCTTGTATGATCAGTCCTTTAGGGCACAGAACTTGCTTCCTTCATCCTTTCATCTGGATTAGAGCAACATGGTTTTAAATCGCTACGGGCACCTACAATACACAAAGAACCCTTTATTTTAACTGCAAACAAACAGTGAAGGGGGACGTTGTTACTTTTTCCTCCTTATTGTGATTTGTACCTCTTCATGGCCAAGTCCATATCTATTTATTGTAAATGTGTCAGAGACTTCCATTTCTGTGTATGTGAGTCACGTGCCTGATAAACATTTGGAGAAAGAAGTTCCCCCGCTCCAACTTCGGCACACTCCAAGGTCAACTTCAGCTAAGGAAAGGAATTGTAAAGATATTATTAGCTCCATTATGCAACATGAATGTGCACCTATAAATACACAGCATATAATATTTTCCTAGCTAAAAGATTTTTCTTGATTGGAAAGTAGAAACTAAAAGAAATAACCTACACTAACACACACAGCTATTTTTCCTTAAAGAACTGCCTTATCTATGATATCTCTTTCAAAAACTCCATGGGCTGTGCTACAGTTCAAACTATAGGTTGGGAAGTTAAAAAGATAGAGTTTTGAATCCTGGTTTTATCCCTTATTATTTGGCTGACTTTGAAGTTCAGGGAGGTTAAGTTATTGCTCGTTTTCCTTAGCTACAATGGGAAGATAATAACTTCCACCTTGCTTTTATTGTGTGAGAATTGTGTGGTAACATACAAGGTCAAAGTGTGTCAGAAAGTAAACAAGTATTCAATAATTGGTTGTGTTGGTGGTTTTCGCAAAATTATTTTTTATTACTCTCTTCCCCACGTTTCCTTATGTATCGATTTTATGCATTGGGTATAAGGTTGCTGTTTGACTCCAGACTCTCTGGTTAAAGGAAGCAGAGGCAGCTGCACTATTTTATTGTCAAGTGTGAATTATTCCCTTCATTTCTCACGAAGGTGACTATCAGGATGAAGGTCACTTCTATCTCCTTTCTCTCCTCACGGTGCTCACCCAGCCTGTCTCTTCCCTCCCCTCCTTCCTCGTTTCATTTTTCTTCCTTTGCTACTGCAAAAATGCCAGTCTCTGCACCTGTGCGTCCTGAGGAATGCCAGCCAGGACTGGGGGAGTTCACTGTGCTGAACATGAAAAATAAAATTCTCATTGAGAAATTTACCAGCATTAAATTGAAATGAGTGTGATGTTCAAGAACAAGCTGCCAGTTGACAGGCCGTCAAGACAAAACACACGTATATATTTACCCAAATGGCAGCTAAATTATTTTAGAAATATCTTATTTGGGAGCTGGAGATACAGCTCTTTTATATTCAACTGTGAATTGCAGAATTTGATGAGAATTCACTTTTATGGCAATGCAACATGAAGAGCGACATGTGAGCTTGTCTGATTTTTACTGTGGATACCAAGCTAGCTCTGTTGAAGTTGGTTATTCAATGAAAATTTACCTGTACTCATCAATTTTCAGATAATTTAAGTAGGTATTTTCAATGCTATTGCATGTTGGAGTGAGGGGTTTTAACCTCTTTTTTTATATATCTACACCTGGGTTTGGGTAAAATAAGCTTTTTACTTGATTTTAGAATGGAACCTCAGATTATATGGCCTAAAATTCGCCTTCTACTTGCATAAACCATGTAATCTCACTTTCTCTACCTGTATAATGTGTACAATAATACCTACCTAAAAACCTATGTTTGGGAAAATTCAATGATTATTTTAAAAGAGATACTAGTTTCTTTCTAACTGTCCATTTGTGAATCTTACTGGTGTGAATCAAAAAAAAAATGCCTATATGATATACATTGCCTATATAATACAAATGCTCAAGAGCCTTAAGTTTATGTTTCACAAATATGCATATTGAAATAAACTCTATTTTGTTCAAAAGGGCATATGAGTGAAGGTAGAAGTAAAGAGGTGGGAACGCCAAGTGCAGTATTGTCCCTTTATCTGTGGGGGATACATTTCAAGACCCCTATTAAATGCCTGCACCGGAGAATGGAACGAATCCTCGTACATCCTGTTTTTTCCTATACATACATATCTTGGAGAAAGTTTACTTCCTAAATTTGGCACAGTAAAAAATTAACACCCATAGCTACAATAAAATTGAGTAATTATAACAATATACTTTAGTAAAATTGATGTGAACGTGGTCTCTCTCAAAATGTCTGGAATTTTCCATTTGATATTTTCAGACTGCAGTTGACTACAGGTAACAGAAGCCACAAAAAGCAAAACTGCACATAAAGAGCGACCAACTTCTGCAGCGCTTAAGCTGCAGATATTATTGCCTTGTTGAGTACACGGTTATATAAAGCATGACACTGGGGATTTTCTGAGTTTACTTTTAGATTCAGGGCGCCTCTAATAACGATTGATATGTAATGAAAAGTTGCTGTATGCCAGAAGCTATGTTAAATGCTTCTAACATCCACAACAATCCCACAACATTGGTCGTGCTCTTAACTTCCCTACTTCTCATTATTTTTCAATCAGAAAACCGGGGGAAATTATAGCTAATCCAAATCCAGATATTAAGTGGAGGAACAGGGATTTAAAGCTAGACATCCGACTTTACCTCCTCCGGGTTTAACCAGGAGGCTCGGCTAATCTTTCATAATATCTCTAGGGAACCGGGTTTATGTGAACACCAAGATTCTGCTGCATATTAATCATCGTTAACGTTTTTTCCGAGGTGGAGGTGCTCTAGAGACCAGCACACTTTGCAAACTAAATTGAAGAACTGGAATGGGATTTGGACAAGGAGAAGTTTAGGGGAAGTTTTATGTAACTGTCAAGGTAGGAATATAAGCACTTAAAAAATGTAAGAACAATACACCACATAGAAATTTAAAACAATGAAATTAAGAATAACATGGTGAATAACTGGGGCCGAAGTGCCATTCATATGGTAAAGGAAAAGACTAAATAGAGGAAACTGGGATGGAGCCTAGATAATGCAAAAGGGGAATGCACTCTCCACCAAAAAATAATGATCAAACTGCAACAGTTCAAGAGATGACTTAGTAAAAAAATATGTTTAAGAGGCTTATACCTGAAGGGGTTATGAAAGTTAGTACACAATATACAAGTGAATTTACTCTTCTTGAAAAGTAACTCAGCCAAAGAAAAATGTTCAAATTTGAACATAATTTCAGGCTCTTCCCTTCTATGTGCTATTCTCATTCTTCTGTCTTCTCTTATCTTTAATTTTATGCCTTTTCTTTGTGACCATGTCTTTCTATGCTAAACATCCTCAAATTCTCATTTGGCGAAAGGCCCATACAAAATACATGCTACC